ACATGATTGCCTAAGTGTGTATCACGTATGGCACATAACTGAATTTCTGATTGGTTCTGGACTGATACCATTGTTGTCAACAATTGGTCATTATTTTTTTTCTTTTGGTCACTTACTTTTTTTTTTTTTTTTTTTTTTTTCTTTTACTTTTTTTTTTTTTTCTTTTACTTTTGATTTGTTTCTTTTCTTTGGTCACTTTCTTTCCATTGTTGGCTCCCCCCCCCCATATTTCTCTACTTTTCTTGACAAATCTATATTTTCTTTCTGTCAATATTAATCTGTACATGCTCTAATCTTTTCTTCTTAATTACTTATGTATTATCAACCTGTCAAATGGGAACTCAAGCTTCCCTACTTATGTATAACTTTCATCTTGGCACAGTTTTCTTGAACATAGCAGAGTAAACAAAGATCATATGTTCAGATTAGTCTCAATCTAAGGTGGATAATTTTGTTATGAGATTTCAAGCCTCTTTGCCTTCAGTCCAATTCTCTAAGTTCAAATTCCAGTTGAAATTATTACATTCACTTTCTTGCAAATACCCTTTGGAAATGTATAAACCCATCTCTTCTCTTCTCCCATCTATGGGATAAATAGCAGGGCAAACTGAATCTTCTAACCATGATTGGCAACTAGTATAATATTGGGCAACTCTGAATTCAAAACCATATGTGTCTATCTGTAACTAAAGTCTGCACAGCATAGTTGCAGCATAATTCGCAGAAATCAGATTAGGAATTTCGATTAATTGTTCCAGTTTGATTAGCTCATGTTCATTTTTGGGACCCAGGCTTTAAAATGATCAATAAGCCAAAATACTACCAGTGTTAAATATTGATATATTTTCCCCACTACTCAACTATTGATTTCTATATGAATTAGGTTGGTGGACAAAAATAGACTGGTATGTTAATAAAATAAATAAAAAATATAACCACTTTTTACACTATAACTATACTGTCTGCAAAAAGTGATAGATAGTGAGGGCCCATGGAGAATAAGGTGAAAGGGAAGATGTCCATTAGACTGTTCATCCCCGCCCTCACCTACACCTCATCTCGGCTTTGCTCATCTATAACAGTAGGTTACATCCTGAAAATAAAATCTGCTTTCTGATATAAATTCTCATGGTTTTATTTTGTGGGTAATGATCTAACCAAAAGGTGCTTTTTAAAACAAGCATTTGACTAGAAGCTGCACCCTGAGAATGGACCTAGTATCTGGTCTGAGCTGCAAAGCTACTAGTGCTTGATCATGGATCCTTAATGATCATGGCCAGAGGCATTTGACTAGAAATGTCCACAGTAATAGACAAGTGAAACTGGCTCAAATTGCACCCACATTAAAGGTAGAAGGTACTAGATGCTTATCCAGCAAGTCAGTTCAGCATACTTAACTTTCTTAGGATATAGGAGCAGACAACCCACCGATGTGCCCTTGTTAACCTACCTAACGAGCATGTGTAAATGGTTGGCAGAACAGGGATTAGGAGATATAGTAAAAAATACTCAGAGATATAAAGGACAAGAAGATGTGGAGTGCCATGATTGCATGAAGGAACATGGTATATAGAAGACTGCTGACCATGATTGATCTTCCAGCTATACAACATTAGTTTGAGACTTTATTGCTTAGGTTCCTACCTATAATACTAGTGCATGAGATGCAGAAAGAAATATATATAACTGGTAGCATTTTGAACAGTGCAACTTTGACATTCATGAAGATATACATTAGATAAAAAGCAAATACAAAATGTTTATCAACCTAATTGGTGTCACTTTTATTAAAGCTTCATCAGGGAATGAGATATGAAAAAAAAAATTGAAAGAAATTCTGATATTTTTACATTTGTGGTATTTGATTTCCATTGGTTAATTAGCATTCTGTCAGATTCCAATTCATATTTGAAGATTTACATCAATATATCTCAGTGGTGTATAATCAGAAGTAAGGAGGGGCATTGGAGTGTGTGTATGTGTGGAAGGAAAGGAAAAAAATCGGTGAATTTTTTATACTTCAGCTTGCTGATTTTTATAATTTTTACAAGTGTTTTTTTTTTTTTAATATTGTTATATATATATATAGAGAGAGATGTGTCCATAAATTCCGTGTGCACTTTAAAAATTTATAACTTTATTTACGATAGAAATAATCTGTAAAAAATGTTATAAAGTTTAATGTACCGAGTTTTAAGTATAGCTAAAATAACTAATGTGATTTCAGGCATTACTGTAAATCAGTTGGCAAATGTTTTCCGTGAACTGCAAAATCATATTACCCTTTGTATTGCTAATGATGGAGGACATATGGAAACTTAAATAAAACTTTAATAAAACCTTAAGAAATATAGATTTTCTTCTTTCTAACCTTTTTTACAAATTATTTCTATCGTAAATACAAATAAAGTTATAAATTTTTTAAAGTGCACACGAACTTTTATGGACACCCTGTGTGTGTGTGTGTGTGTGTATATATATATATATATATATATATATATATATATATATATATATATATATATATATATTTTAAGTGCTTTTTGATCAGGATGAAAACTTTTCATGACCTCCTCATTAGTGTGCATTGGCAGCTTAAAAGGAATTTATATATTTAGTTACATCAATAAGTATAATAACAAAAAAATATTTATTTTAAAAAGTAAATACTTATTTTATAAAATAATCTCCTTATTAATGTACTTAATTTAGTTGTTGGTACTTATCACATGTTATACAATATGTAAAAATTTCTCAAAATTAACCTGTAGAAAAAGACAATATGAAAACTGTATTTTTAGCCGACGCATTTCATCCAATGTGGACTTTTTCAAGGGAAAAAAGGAAATGAATTTATTGAAACAGTATCTATAAACAACAAACAAAATGTTGTTAGCAACTAAAACAATTTAGAAATGCTACTGTATGTTCATATGGTCAACTGAAAAATTATGTCAATTACTTTGTTTGAAGAGAATATTTTCATGTGTAGAAATAGTTTTTTATTGTTGTGTTGACGGATTCAAGCATTTTTTTTTGATTTCTTGATATATTTGTTGTGTATTTGAACTGTGGGATTTACCGATAAACGCTTATTCTAAAAATGTAAGTGCAAAAGCGACAAATTTAAAAAGTCACAGTGAAAAACTGGAGAAGAATTAAAAAAAAAATGTTTTTCTGATGTTCTGTCTAATGAACTGGGTCAGTGTTCAAAATTAAAGGTGAATTTTCAAGTAAAAAAAAAAAAAAAAAGAAAGAAAAGTTTGATGCCAGTATTGAAACTGAAGCATACCATTCACAGCTTTAGAACAAGTAAATGAAGAATTGGACAGACTAGAAAGAATTGGTGTATTGCAGAAAATAAACCATTCAAAATGGGCTGCACCCAGCACTGTACATAAAGAAAAAAAATGACAAAATTCGGGTTTGTGTGGATTTCTAAACTGGATTAAATAGTTCTTGAAATTACCTGTTACCAAGTCAGAAGAATTTTTTTCAAAGTTGAACAGCAGAAAAAAAGTTCAACATAAAAGACAACAAAATAAGCTGAGGAAAAAATTCCCAGATGAAAGACCTAAAGAACCGGTTAAAATGTGGTACAACATTTTTGATGTGTCAGCACCAAAACAAATCAGGGGACCCTTAAGGACAATTTCAAGGAAAAGAAAATGCTACAAAGTACATCAGTGAATTCTCCAGGAAGGGGAGATACTATTACTAAATAAAAAAAAAATATTATTCAATAAAGTAGTATTCTCAAAAGGAGAGATGTTGTGGAATAAAGAGTACACCTCAGGTGACTATATGAACTCTTCTAATACTATAAAGACTTCCATGGTATGAGGTCAAGAGTAGTTGTATTTGGAGTCAGTTTTTATACTAAGTATACAGGTGTATGGCAATAGCCTAAGTATTACATATAGAGAATACTTTAATGAATTACATTATAGTGAGTGTGTTATAACAATAACCTGACAATAGGAAGTTATAATAATATTACCACCTTAAACTACATCTGTGTCCTGGGTAAGATGTTAAACTACATCCAGCAGCAAGGCCTCTGATCAGGAGGTTTTGAGGAGCATGGAACCACCTCTTAATTGCTGATGTTCCCAGGTCCACCCTGACCTGGGGTGGTAGCACCTGTTAGGGTACCAGCTATGGAGTAATAGTTAACTATTACAGCAATACAATTTTAAAGGAAATATATTACCAGAAACAGATTTTTGACAAAACAAAATATTACCAGCAATAAAAATTTTTGTCAGCATTAAATAGCCCATTGAGGTTGATATGTCATAAAACAAAATAAACCAAACCAATCTAAACCAAAGAATACATATTCTATTCATATGAATCTATCCTAAAAATGTTATCGGCATTAAATAACCCATTGAGGTTGATATGCCGTAAAACAAAATAAACCAAACCAAATATTACCACCAAATATTATGATGAAACTGTCAGACATAAGCAATCAAAAGCTATTTCCCTTCATAGTCATATGAGGATGTACAAAGGTTTTGTTATAGATTCAAAGAACAAAAACCACTTCAAGAAGAATCTTAGTTAACACTGGCACAAGTGTCCCAGGTAAATCCAAGAGGATATTTAACTGTACACCCACTCAAATAAAATATGGCATTCAGCATTTCTTTGAGACTCCTAGGGTTCCAGAGATTATTTCTATTTGGAGAGATACTTAAATGAGTGAGGATGGGGTCTGGATTAATCAATTTTTTTAAAGCCCACCAACCCCTTGCAGGTTATTTAAAACCAGAAAATATTTTTGGACTCTAAGTATTTTTTGGAGATAATGATTTACTGATATGTCTTACTAATTAACTCATATTTCTTTTTACTTTCTGGTAGGAGAAGAGGTGGGTTCATCCCTTTCCCAAGAGTATTTGCATGTAAGTGAATATAAAAAACTCAACTGGAATTGCAATTTGGCTCTACAATTTCTAACACTGAGCCATTATCCATTAAACCATCCAAGTTTACAGCACCTGGTTTTCCCAAGCAGTCACCTATCTCTGTATTGACCAGGCTCTATGTTGCTTAACTTCAGTGATCATACGAGAACCAGTGTTTCAGCATGACCAAGCTCACAAGCATTAAAAAGCCATAATCATTAAAATTTAATAAAACCAACATCAAGACAGATAAATATGAATCAATGTTTCCAAGAATTGGCAAATGGAGAAAGGTTAGTGTTAATCTGATTTATTTTCATGCATGTGCATTATTTGTTTTTGATTTTGTTGATTGCACATTATAGTAAGATCATTGGGTACCATCTATGAGAAAAAGAGCACCATGATGCAACTCACTCCACTAGAAATTTGGAAATGGCATATTTTACTGCTTGACATTCATGCCAGAATCTCCAGTATAAACATTTTAGAGTGTTTGGGTGTCAATCAGAGGACAGTGCAGAGGATTTGGAAAGAGTTAGATGAGTGATTATAAAGGTGTTTGGAATGATCACTAGTGATGTTATGCCTCCATTCATCTTCCCACAGGGCCTCAGACTCAATGTGGAGGCTTACATCAAGTGCCTTGAGGAAGAGGTGCTGCATTGTGTAAGAGTGTGGCTAGTGGAAGAACCTATATCTGGCAACAGAACTCTGCACCATACCATACAAGCAGGAGAACCCAGTCATGGCTCTCAGACAATTACTGCGACCACATCATCCCTTATATTTGGCCACCTAACTTCCCAAACTGCAATCCCTTGATTATTATGTGTAGAGTGCAGTTGAGTGAGAGATCAACAAAAACACCAAAGATGAACTGAAAGCAAGGACTACGGTAGCATTCACCAACTTAAACAAGGAGACTGCCCAGAAGAGTTGCAGGAGATTGTGAGTCATCTGCAGGCTGTGGCTGAAGCCAGTGGTGATTTTATTGAATAAATTTACTCTTTAGTATTTCAAGATATTTTTGTATAATTTTGGCAAATATATCTCTTAAAATGAGATGTCAGCATTTTCATTTTTGCTTAATTTAGATGACAATTTATCCATCGCATGCTATATATATATATATATATATATATATTTTTATTATTATTATTACCAATAATAATTGTAGACTGTTTAGAAGAAAAATTCTCAATATTAATTTTTCATAATCAAATTATCAAATAAGAATGATATAATGGGTCATTGCTAACATATCAACAAATATTTGTTACTTTAATAATAATATAACATAATAATATAGATTAACATAACTTCAATATAAACCATAAAAAATTTTAAATTTAATTTCAAAGAAAAATCTACAATTGAAAAAACAGACAAAAAATTTATGAATGTGTGCATATAAAAGAACATTAATGAATGCGTATGTGAACAAAATGGATTGAAAAAAAAAACTCTGAATAAATTGAAAAAATTGGAAATATTTAAAAACTAGACATTACTTTGAAGTCAGGGAAAATAACAAAAAAATTGATATTTAAAGTTATATAATATTATCATACTTATAAAACCCAGGTTGTGTGTGTCTCTGTTCATTTATATATTGGATCGGATTTCCTACATTTTTCAACCGATTTAAACTAAACTTTACAGGACTACGTAAAATTACCTTGCAGTGGTTCTGACAGTGTCAAAAATTGGAAAAACACAATTGTTTTTGCACGAAATCAATTTGAAAACATGATTAAGAGGCATTGCTGTCACGAGAAGGAAAGGGGAGAACTCATATCGAGTTATACTTATTATAAAACCCAGGTTGGTTGTTTGTGTGTGTGTATTCATTTATATATGGGATCGGATTTCCTACATTTTTCAACCGATTTCAACAAAACTTCACTTTTTTTTTTTTCTTTTTTTTTTTTTGGCAGGTAGTGTTTCTTATTGAATTGCACACTTTTTTCTTTATTTTTACATTCAGAATGCTTTAAAAATTCCATTTACAAGACAATTGTTTATAATAAAATTCTATTCAATTGGTAGACTCATAATGATTGAAAACAATGTTTTTGTTTGGGTTTGACCAATTCATAAAAAAAAAAAACTAATTAAAGTCATGCGTGTCCGTCAACCTTAAACAATAATCTTAGTCAATTTTATTTTTCAGTCTTTATGATGGTCGATACTTGATCTATCTCTTACTGTTACATCCCGGGCTCTACTGCTAGTTTATAATATTTTTAATATTCAGCACTATATATAAAAATATTTGCTGCTTCTGAAATCTTAATTCTGAGATAGATATATATATGAAAAGGCAAAAGAAGTATACTTAGTTTAGCCAACACATTTCGTTATTCAGTGGACTTTATGAAGACAAATGTGATGGTTTTATTTTCCAACAAGTATATCAGTAATAGTTCAGGGAGGGGCAGGCATATATAAAATAAATTGCCTCGACTGTTCTTCACAATACATTAGGGAAACAAGCAGAAATTTAAAAACATGTGTCTATGAACACACGAGTCATGTTATAAGTCATAATTTAACAAATGCACTAGTCGTACACAGAAATAAATTCAACCACAATTTTGATCTTAAAGAAAAAAAAAAAGCCACAGTCCTCAAAAGAGAAAGTAATTTACTCAGAAGGAAAATCCTTTTGAGTGACACCAATGAATATTACCAAAATATCAATCTACATCTTAGTTTTTCCCAATCTTACCTTTCCTGAAGGAATTACTACTTTCCCAAGCCAACATACACAACAAATGTGTTGAAAAATTGAAGGAAAACAGTTGAATCCATCATTTCAACTTTTGGAAATGTATAATACAAATGTCTCTCATATTTCAGCCCAAGAAAGTTTTTTGAGTATACTAAATGATGTATTCTAAGGTCTAAATGCCTAGACATTTCAATTAATCTTTTATTGAGCATCTTTAAATTTTAAAAAAAAATTCCTTTTCAAAGATGTTATATGACATAATCTAGGATTTAACACCTAAATCTTTTCAGTTAACTTGCTAAATATTTATGAGTGTTCTTAAATTTGGAAATTTTGAGTAACTGTAAAATATATATTTGTTGCAAAATAAAACCATCACATTTGCCTTGATAAAGTTTGTTAAATGACAAAATGTGTTGGCTAAACTAAGTATAGTTTTCCTCTTGTCTTTTCATTCATTTTGTCTCTTCTACAGATATAATCCATCTGAGAATATTTACATATGTATGTACAAATTTTTAAATTTTGTTTATTTTATTTTCATTGGTTGTGTGAACATCACATGTAGACCTCATGATATTTGTGTAGATGTTTAATTCTTGAAATGTTAAAATAATTTAAGTTTCTATTCAAAATTGGGTCTATTAGTCTATTTTAATTATATGATAAATTGGGCAAATGTTGGAAGTGAATGTGTAATACTAGGTTATATCATTTGTAAATATTTAGATCTTACATTCTTTCAGTATAGGTTTTACATATATTTGTGATTGTTGTGATGTCTTCTAGTCTGGTATGTAGAAGTTCTGTGTGATGACTGTCTTATTAGTAGTCACTAGACTCTATACGAAATAGGGCAAGTCTATTTTGCTTATGTCACTACACCTCCCGGAAACAAAATTGTTTTTATGCCCTTCATTGATCTGTGACTTCCCCAAATAATAGTAGGAGATTCTATCTAGAGAGTGGTCTTGACTTTTCTTCATTCTGATCTTCCAATTCCATATCATATTCATGGAACTATCCTTCATAGTTTCTTTACTATTTTCACTTTCTCTGACAGAAGTACTCATGCTTTCCTTCATTTCAGGTTCCATCTTTACTTCTTTGATGACACTTCTAGGTCTTTGAACATAATGAGCCAATAAATTCTGTCCACTTGTTGCTATTATGGCTGTATTATGTTCCTTTTATACAATAAAGTTAGCTTTTTTATTTTTGTACCATATTTTTTTGCATTTATTGAATAGGATATTGTTTATAGGTGATCTGATTTGCCCCCAATTTTTTTTTTTTTTTTTTTTTTTAGAAGTTCTTTCTTTAAATTTTCAACTGCTGTATTCTGCCGTTGAATCCATTTAAATTCATTGTTCTTTTTTCATAACTCCACAAAGTGTTCTATCAATTCTCTATACTTTGGCAAATATTTGCTATAAAAATTGGTTAACCCTAAAAAAGATGCCAATTCTTTTTTATTTGTAGGTGTAAATAGCTCTGCTATTTTATTTATAAAATTTGTGTCTGGTGAAATTCCATCTTTGGGAATTTGGTATTCCAGATATATTATTATGTTACAATTTAACAGACATTTATCCTTGTTTATGGTCATTGTAGCATTTTTTAATTTGTTTAAAAACATGATCTGTTTTTTACTTTTTCTCTTCTCTACTGGTAGCACCAATAAATATATAGTCTTGATAGATGCTTATATTCTTAACATCACCAGTTAGTACATTTTCAATGGATCTTTGAAAAATAGCATTTGTGGTTATTACACCATAAGGCATACACAACTTGGAAAGTTAATTGTAGTGACCTTTTTAAATTTTTCATCAATTTGTATCTGGTTATAGGCAAATTTGCAGTCAATTTTAGCAAAGTATTTAATTCCTGACAACTCGTGAATGGCAGTTTCATTGATAGGAATAGGGAATGAATTGGGGCATATCTTGTAGTTTACTCCTATTTTGTAATATCCATATATTCTTAAATCATCATCTCAATTTCAACATACTCGTCCTAAAGCTGGACATTTAAGAAAAAAACGTCTGGTTCATGCTTTTTACCACAGTATAACACAAGGTAATTTGATATGCTGTATACTTCAGTATTATTCTCAGATGTATTGAATTTTTCAGTTTACTTTAATTTTTGGAGAAGCTCTAGAGACAAGGACATTTTAGTCAGCTGTAACTGTTCTAAAATTTTGTGTTTATACGAAGCATCAGACTTGCCTTCCATTAATCTCGGCTGTATCAATTCATCTTTGATGGTCATTTCTCCAGTGCCAAGTTTTTTGAACTCACAGAATCTGGAAGCCTCTCATAGCTTGTGTACATACTGTCTTATTGTTTTGTATGGCTCTTGTTTGCTTCTGAGAAACTTTGTCCTCTCTGCGATAACCAACTTCTTTTTTTGAATGCAAATTTCTCTTTAAAATGTCCCAAATTTGT